ATAGTGTAGTGAGCTTAGAAACCGATGCAAAATTGCGAGGATGATGCTTGAATCAACTCACGAGCGAGGCAGCGGGAGCAGCTGAGAGTCGACCGCCCTTCTCTTATTGCCTCGAGCTCGGGGATGAGCAGCGGGTTAGCACAACATGTCGCAATAGTTCGAGAGATGGAGGCTGGAGCACCTAAGCGCAGACCCAGGCTCCCTCCCACCCATCCATCCATGCATAGTACGTACATACCTACACACCTACATACCCGCTCACTTGCTGGCATACCTATACGTAGGACCTACATGCATGCATGCTTACTTGCGCACATATACGTACAAATATGCACACATAGACGTGTGTATATTTATTTACATGTACGGTATGAATATGAGTGAGTGAGTGAGTGAGTCAGTGAGTGAGTGAGTGAGTGTGTGTGTGTGTGTGTTTGCTTGTTTGGTTGCTTGGTTGGCTGGCTGGCTGGCTGGCTGGTTAGTTAGTTAGTTAGTTAGTTAGTTAGTTATTTAACTAGTTCATTTTTTTGCCTAAGTAGAGTGTCATTGAGTCATTGTCTGACTTCATACACTTGTAGTTGTGGCAGCCCGGCATGATGACTATGACTATGTTCTGACTTTTTCCTTGCCCCGCCACCTCAGTTTAAACTTCGCAAATCCACATCCGCAGCCTGGCCTAAACGTGCACAGCTTCGAGCCGACAAGCACCTTCTAGCTCTGCCCTTGTCCAGGCAGAGTGTATGCCAGCAACCTCAAGAAGTAATGGGTGTGTACAGACCTACAGATGTTTGGGAGAAGTTCCACCCGTGCACCGAACAACGAGTTCCAACCTCGAGGTAGCTACTCCTGGACGTCTTCGGGCTCTCTGTCGGCCGCCAAAGGGTAGCGAGCACGATTTCAGAGCTTTCGGTGAATGTCGAAGAACTTCGGAACTTCGCCACCCAAAGCCCTAAACCTACCTCCTCACTTCTCTTTGTTCTGAAAAAGGCGATTTTTGGTGGAGAGGTCTGAGGATACGGAGACTGCCCTTTGTGGCATCGCTACTATTGAAGCTCGGGAGTTCCAGAGCCAGCCCGGCTTCAAGCTCCTCAAGCTTTTACTTTTGGAAGATTAGGTTTAGGGTCGAGGGTTTAGGGTCTTGCAAGACTCCTTCAGCTTGTTGTATGGATCTTTGCCTTCCATCCGCCATGGAGAAAGAAGAGCCCGACAAATCCCCTCCCCATCCTTCACCATAAAGTACAGTGCCCTTTTCGAGGTGGCCAGAGGCCCTCTTCCACCACCGCCCGGTTGGCGGAAGCCCCGGAGATCGATCTAAGATCTAAGCTTCAGGAGAGTGCGGCTCAATGGTTTTTAGTGAGTCTTGGGGGTTTGGAAGCCTGTCCTGCGGCTTGGGCTGAAAGAGTAGCTGAAGGTTTGAGGTCAGGGGCTCCATCGTGCAAGCCGTTCCAGATTCCTGGGTTAGGGCTTCAAGGGCTGATGTGCCTCGCAATGTATATTGAGCCCATGCCCTGCCCTAACTCCATGTGTGGGGCACGAGGTCCAGAGTCTAGAAGTCAAAGACTCCCACACAGCTTCGGAAGCTTGTGGAGGGGCTCTCTTTATCGCGCATCGCGTGGAAGAAATATCTGGTGTCTGCCTTTGTTCTGTAGGTTCCCTAAGAAGAAAGTTCACTGTTGGCAGATTTTCTAGCCTAGCCGTGCGATGCGTGTTAAGCGCCAAACTTTACGGACACACAGGGCGCAGTGGGGACTGGGCGCCTTGTTTTCTATGTTGCAAGTCTCTGCAGTGCGGCAGTCAATGGAAACCCTATACATCCCAAAGGAAAACCTCTTCCAGAGCCTCAAAGCCGAGGTGGCGGCAGCACCCAACGGACGTGCCCTCAGCGAGACAGGATGCCACGTTGACTTCGCGACGAACCGTTTTTTGCCGTGTAAGGCTGAGTGTAAGGCTTCACATCAACAATCTCGTGCTTAGGGGTTCATTTGGTTTCATGATACGGTTTGGAGAGCGTCCCCCGCAGGAAGGTGTTACAGATGTCCCTCGTGTCGCAGCACCAAGCCTAAAACGTCGTCGGAAAAGTTGCGGAGGACCGGAGAGGCCTCAGATGGAAACCGGGAGATTCAGCCACAAGAGCCACAGCAGCTCAGGCGGCGCCATCAAGGAGGACACTTCTCCCCAAGCGGAAGGGAGGCAGAAGGAACTCTTAGCCTACAGGGCTTGCGTATAATCTAACGACCCCCTTATTGTAGCGCCTGGACGAATTCAGCTGCTGTTGGCTTTAGCGATTTCAGCTGTTTAGCTCCTAGAGGTCTCTGGATGCCAAATCCATATGCCACAGAACCCCAATCCCGAAATGCTGGAAGCGCAGCTGGAAGGATTAAGCAGCAGGGCTCCTGGGGACAGAACTGCATCTTCGCCTGGTAGACCAGAAGCATTCGTTAGCCCAGAAGTACTTTTTGGTAGAAAGACGAGGGACAGGCTTAGAATGCACATGTACGTTTACGGCTACAACCTTTAAGTACTGCGCGTGCATGCACAAGTCAAAAGCGAACAGCATGCCCTAGCAACTGTCCAGCAGGGTTGTTGATTCCATGTCGGACCGCTTGGCACAGGAGACCTTGCCGCCTCTTCCGCAAGCTTTGGTGTCCTTGAGCGCTGCGTACTCAAACGTTTGCGCAAGCTCATCGGTGTGTGGATCGGGAAGCAAGCAAGCCAGGAACTCTTGTCTCCAAGCCCATGAGCCATTCAGAAACCCAGGCGGAAAGAAGCTTAAGATAGTCAAGAGAAGAGAAACCAAGCGCCACAACCTACACGCTAAGCCGCAAATCGTAACCCTCAGTACATTATCTGCCCTCTGCATATCATCCCGGAGTCTAAACCGTCTAAACCCTAAACTCGAAGTTCTGTCGAACACTGAGGCCGTGCAGCGCCTTGTTTTGGATGAGGGCGACCGCCTTATTGAGGAAGGCTTCGAGGAGGCTCCGTAAGGGGTGGGGTTTCGGATGGTTTAGGGTTCAGGGCTTTGGGGTTTTGGGGTTCAGGGTTTTTTATGGTAAGAGTTTGGTTTAAGACCGGGTGTAGGGGTTTAATCAGGTTTTCAGCGCCTTACATCAAGATGTTGCTGCAACAGAAGGGGGGGGGTTTTAGGTTTAGGGTTGAAGGTTTTGCAAAGACCTCTGAAGGTGCAGCTTTTCAAGGGATGGGTTATTATGGAGTTTTATAGTTTCCATAAAGGGGGGGTTGATTTGGGGCTCTCGTGGCTCGGGATTGGTTCGCTGCTTGGGTTCGGGAGTCTCCGAATTCAGTGCATTGACATAATAGTAGTAGTCGCAAGAATAGCAATACAATAATACTAATAATAATAGTAATATTCTTGTTGTGATGCACTTTTGGGTTCTGGAGCGCAAGAAGGCCATTTAACAGTTGTCAGGGGCCCGGTCGAGTCTCCGAGGTCTCCAGCTTGTTCTAAGAGTAGCTACAGCAACAAGCAGATAGACGCTTGTAGAATATACCACAGGTGCGGTATACTCTTCTCAGACCTCATTGCAACGCCGGCACGCACCGCAAACGTTGGAGATACCCTGGTCTGCAGCCTCGTGCATCGGGCAGGTTCCAGAGTCTTCAAACGGATTGCCCTCTATTCCAGTCGGGACGGCTTTTCGAGGTTGTAACTCGAGTTCACTGATGAATGAACCCTAGAAAGGGCAGAGTATGCCTGATGCTTCACGGGAGGGTGTGACTTCCAGGGCTGGAGGGCCCACACACCTAAGCCCCTGCGCCTTTTTTACACTGAACCTCGGCCGTGGGGCTCTTCAGCGCTGTTGTGCAAAGCCTCCGCTGTCGCGCCAACACATTCCTGCACAGCAGCCCGGACCTGAGAAACTATGCTATGAATACCATGTTTAGTAGCAGTCGTTGTCGTGGTATGTTTCACATCAGCCACGGCGAGGGTGTTCACATATGAAGACGCGGGGCACTTAAAGTTTAAAGGTGTGACGGAAAGCTTTTGTTTCATGCAACGGGAATGAGGACGGACGTTTGCAAAGCCGTTTCAAAGGCGAGTTTTCGCGAGTGTGACTGTATACATGATGCACTTTCAGCCGATTGGAGATCAACGAAATCAATCTCCACACAGCTGCCTGCTGACTTTCTTCGGCTCAACCAGGTTCTATTTCGCGCCATGCCCAAGAACAAGCTTGGCGGTAACAAAGCGAAGCGCGCCAAGGAATTTCCGAGTTCTTGAGAGTCAGGGAGTCATGTGTTGAGAATTCCGAAACGTGTGTGGGATGTCGGTTTCAACAGGGCTGTGCGGATCATGGAAATTACAGGTGCTCACGGAACTGTCTACAGAGCTACTGGAAATATGGCGCGAGTAGGGTTGCGGGGAGTGATCGCAGCCTCCATGTTAGGAGGCTAGCTCGGCTAGAGGTGTTCGCTCTGGGCCACACGCACATCCATCCGCTCACAAAAGTCTGGAACCCTGACTCCACGCTCAAGTCGTTTCCGTTTCAAGAACACGAGCACAGCAAGTAAGAAGACTCAGATCTAGAGTTAGTCTAGTTCGTAGGCTTGAGCATTGAAAGCATAAAAGTACAGTTCCACTGGTGATGACAGGCGAGCACGGAGAACAGCAAAAAGGAGCTGGAGTTCAAAGAGGACGGGCAGGCGCACCGCAGCGGACGGACTTTACTTGCTTCGAGATGTGTGGTCGAACCACTGAAAGGTTTCCGCATCTGTCCATCTTAGAACGAGCCTCTGTCAAGGCTCTACATGTATGCATGCTCTGTTTGCGATTGTGTCGGTTCCCCAGCATGCCCGCTTGCGCTTGCGGCCACCCAGTTTTCGATCTACCGTGGGTGTTCTCTTCTGCCGGGATGAGCCTGCATTCCTGATATGCACAATTCTGCACGTATTTGGTTCACGTGTAGACGTACATTCTTTGAAGTATGTGGAAGCCTCAACCTCTTCACTGCAATCAGGAGTATGGGCAGATTACCCGTATGTTGGGCAACGGCCGCTGCGACGTGCAGTGTGTGGACGGAGTTAAGCGGCGACCTGGCCCCGTTTTCGGGAAGCTTTTCAGGTACTTAGGGGCCTGTATATTTTGAATACTTTAAGCTAAGTATAAGGGGCCGCACTTAAAGAAGCCTGAGCATGTCAAAGCCAAGAAGACGAAAAGGGACTAGCAAGGGAAGGCTGAGCATCATCGCATCATCTCTGGCTGCGCATCGAAGGCTGTGCCACATCCGGGGCCACTTGGCAGCACAAGCAGAACTTGCATTCAAGGACAATGGGGAGCAAGACGGCTACTGTTTGCTGCATCAATGGTCCGCTGGACATGTTTTCCGGCTTTGCTAACTGCGAGACGCAGATGGAGCTCAAGATCACGTCAGACCTACTGCGGGGTTACTTTCTGGGGTACTTTGCTGGTATGGTAGAGAAAACGTATGAAGCATGATGCAGTAGTTGCTGTGTATGACTGTTCTGTAGGTGGCTTTCAAAACGATTCGTCAGCTGAAGCTCAAAACAAGGCTTGACACATACTCTACACGTTGATTAGGTGATTATAGGCCTGAGTACGCAGGCCGCAAGCGACTTTTTGAAGTAGTTGGTTCAGTACACTTACAATGGGCTGTCATCGCTGAAGCTGTCGCTTTTTGGTATCCTTGGTTGGCCCCTTTTGTTTGATCTCTCTCTGTCTCTCCCTCTCTCTCTCCTCTCCGTGTCTGTGTCCAACGTATCACTCATTCATTAACTCTTTCTTTCGTTCATTATTTGTCATGGCTATCTGACTACACAGACGTGTGTGCAGCGCTGGCGCTTGATTTACCTACGTCCTTATGTTCTGCGTTTTCTTAGATTTGGATGTCTGCACTACTTCTGCCGAGTGGGTCTGTTTAAACATAATTTTGAGGACTAGTGGTTTAGGAATTACAGACTGTATAAGAGCTTACTGATGGGTAGCCCGAGTCACTCCTTCATGCAGCCCTGATTCCTGAGTCAAGAGCCCTATGCACGAGAGCGAAAGCCGACCTCAAACCTCAGGTAAGATGAGAAAGAAGGTTTGGTGCAATCAGGGCGACATTGTCTTGGTTTCCCTCCGAGATTTCCAGGCTGTGGTGGCTCCTAGTGCTGCATGTTTCTGCGTTGTTCTTCCCATGATCATGTCTGTCGGGCCTTATTGTCAGTTTATCGGGATGAACACTAGCATCGGTTTTTGGGTGTATGTACACACACACATTTGTGTGTGTGTGTGAATATGCGTTGATATTGTCAGGTGCATGCTCCATTGCATTCAGGGCAAAGGGCTTTGCGGGATATGCTTTGATTGCTTGTTCGGAGCATCAGGGCCGAGAGAGGGTGTTACAGCAGGAGCTTCGTGTTTGACCCTTCAAAGACATGGTTTCGTTGTGTGAGGGGTATGTTATGCAGCGTGCCTGGCCGCGGCCATGCTAAGCCCCATGTCCCGTGCCCGGAGAATCGCAAGGTCATGAACGCTTTGCTGTGCACTGTTCTGCTACTTTTGACGGAATCCTGGACTCTAGAGCTCTGAAGCCTGCAGTTGTTAGGCTTTTGTAAAGCTTTGATTATGCTTCCTGTCTTTTCATGCAGGATCGATAACCCCACCCAGCCCGCCTTAAGCGCTGTGAGTCTATGGTGAAGAGACGGTTTAACGGTCAGGGGTTTGTCACAGATGGGTTGAGCGAAGCAGCCCGCTACTTGGCTGATCGGATTGACGGGTCCATGATGTTGAGCTCGCTTCAATGGAGTCATGCCAGCTAGCCAAATCGCAACTCAAGTCCTTCTCACTGCACCAATCAAGTTTGCCCCAAGCCCTTTCTTACGACCGCTCTCTACGTGCGCCGAAATTATTCCGATGCCCCATGCAGGACGAGAAAGGCGACATCATCACCAAATACACCGCCGAAGAGGCCCGCAGCTTAAAGGCCGGGGGAGCCGTCCGCAAGGTGGAGCTTAGGGCTTATGGCTTTTAGGTTTGTAGGCTGCAGGGTAGTGTAAAGTGGGTTTCGATCTGAAGAAATTGTGCAGCATTTGGGTTCTTGCAACTTCTCAAGGTTTGAGATTGCAGTGCTAGCTTTTCTACTTGGCCGGCTGCTGTGGTACCTGGATGCAGGGTTCAAGGACTGCTCCATGCTTATGCATCTTGGGTGTGAATAATTACGCACAGGCTCTAAAAAGCATTATAGTTGGGATTGCTGCCAAAAACCGTTGATTCAGAGATCTCTAGACCTTCATCATGGCATTGACTCCTTCAGTTTCGGCGGCTCCTCGCCAGCGACAATGCCGGTACCAGCCCAGAGTTCGCCGCAGATTGACATGGGGGAGATCAGAGGATCCCTGTTGCAAGCAACACTCAGCGAACTGAGCCAACTGGATGAAGAAGTGGGGCCGGGCGAGGCAACATCCCCGGTCGAGTTGGCTGGAGTCAGCCATGCTGAAAGTCGGAGCACTTGACTGCCCAGAACCCGAGGATGAAGAGTGGTTCCGACACGTCAACCGGCATGCGAGATGCCAGGTGAGCCCGCAGTCGTCAAGCCAAATGACAGTGAGTCGTTGCGGCACTACCGAAACAGCGGCTGCCGGTGTGACGCGCTCTTACTCGTCAGCTGTCGTGAAGATTTTGCTGTAAATGGTTGGGGAATTTGTTTTTGTGTTGGACGGGATAGGTGTTTTGCTAGTCTTATACCTCAGTTAACGTGGTACGCCATGGCTTGCATCGCAGGGTCGGAGCGATTCAGCGATTGAGTATAAACCGAAGAGTCCGTCTACCCGAAAGGCCTACGGCGAGCTGCCGGAGAACGTGGCCTTGGCAAGCAAGACTTGGTTGACAACTTCTGGTACGTAAATGGCTCTAGATGCATGTGCGTGTGTCGTACACATCATGATTTGCGTTGCACCGGCGTGCTCTACGCGCCCAAACTGTCCGGCTAGCATCCATTCTGAACTGCCAGAAGTCCTATCATTAAGTCCCAAACCCCAGCCCTAGCAGCCCGGTCGGGATCGTTCGGTTGCTGTGATGTATCACTTGACGTCACACGGAGGGGCCATGCCCGACTTCCAGAGGGGAAGCATACAAAAGCCCATAAATTCACCTGGAGTCCCTCAGGCTAAGGTACACAGAATGTGCTTTGAATCAACATTGAGGCACTCTGAGCTACGTCTGCCGGGGACGGCGGAACGAGGCCGAAGCCCTGCTCCTGAGGTGAAGATCAACGAGACAGACATCGGCGACGGGGATGACAGCGAGGACGGTGTGGAGTTCGATGAGGCCTCCGCAGGATTCGCGAATTGAGCTTTTGGGCGTTGAGGCAAGGAGGGGTTGTTTCTGGAGTGAGAGGCCAGGCGTCGCTTTTTTTTTTTTGGGGGGGGG